GAAAGGAAATGAGCTGCCCTGAGTCCCCCCCTGGGGTGAGAAGGGCGGGGTATAAGTAAGTGAAAAAATAATAATAATAATCTCTGTGTTTACATTAGTGAAAGACAATGCTCTTTCAAGTCAAACCCAGAACACAATGGTTTGTTACCTGAAGATCAACATCTGTCAGGAGGTGAAGACTCAAGATAATTTTAAACAGGACAATTATTTACTACATCAGCAGAATATTCCTATAAAAGACTCAATCTAATAATTCTTACTTGTGACAGACCAGAGGAGTCTGGCTCACCCACTATGTACTGCTCCATTGGGAAGGGGGAAGATGGTGTATAGAGAGTGTCAGATCTGCTATGGGAAAGCAGGATTCTGTACACTTTGGGCTCCTTTTCTTAAGGGAAGAGGAAGGAGTGTGTTTTGGACTCATGATACGTTTGTAGGGAGTCAGGTTCTGCTGTATGGAAAACAGGGAGCTGATTCTTGGCATTTTGGCGTATTGGAATTTTGGCATTATGGAATTTATGTGTTGGCAGGCTGCAGGGAAGCCAGGTCTGGCCTAACAGGTGTTCTTCTCCAAGGAGGGAGAAAGGATATGGTAATGCCTGCACATGTGTGTGAATGCTGAGTAAAAATGTAATCGTCCCTTCTTTGTTTTTTTGATAGCCAATGTAATTGTAAGTTGTTTGTGTGCGTTCAATGTAGTTAGCTACATAGAATCTGTATGTCTGTATGCCTATTATTTATTTATTTAAACACTTATATTCCGCCCTTATATTATATAATATAAATATTATTTATTATATTATAACAGAAACACTTATATTCCGTCTAAATGTTGTTCTGTAAAAGTTCTGATATTCCCTCTCACACTGAAAAATTCAATAAAAAAGAACCTGTTTTAAAAAGAATTCATAAGAGTTTTATGAATGGTCCCTTTAAAAAATGTGAACTACAAATTCAATCATCCACGGTCAATTCCCCCACCAATGCTGCAGATATTCAAAGTGCTCTCTGGATGCGGGTGAACTATAACTCCCAACATTTAAGGTCAATTTCCTCCAAACTCCTCCAGAATTCAAAGTTGACCATGTCAGGTATGCATGCCAAGTTTGGTCCAGATCCATCATTAGCTTGGTTCCCAGCGCTCTTTGGATGGGACTGAAATTCAAGATCAATTCCTTCCAAATTGATCTATAAATCACGAAATCCAGGGTCAATTCCCCTCTAAATCCCTCCAGTGTGTTCCGTTGGTCATGGGGGGTCTGTGTGCCAGGCTTGGTCCAGATCCATTGTTGGTGAGGGTCACAGGACTCTCTGGAAGTGGGAGCCAATAGAAAATCACCCACATGCATACATACATACATACATACATACATACATAGATACATACATTTATTTTTATTATGCCAAGGTGGACCATAAATAATTCTACTCACAGTATTTCGAATTTAGACATATATGTGTGTGCTTTGTTATGTATTTGCTATGTATTATGTATTTGTCTCCACTGTCCTAATCCCACTTCCAACAGAAATTGTTTTTTTTTTTCCTCCCTCTTTCTGTATGTTATCTTAAATCACTACTACACATTTCTTTAGTAGCTTTATAAAGAAATGTTTTGGTAGCGTCATCATTCGGAATTCTGTTTTTTAGGTTTAACGCATTCGACAACAGACTTTTTGGAATTAATGAGGTGGAAGCGGAGTGTATGGATCCACAGCAAAAGTTACTCCTGGAATGCACTTATAGAGCATTGGAAGATGCAGGGGTCACTAGAGAAAATATTAACGGCTCCAAAACTGGAGTTTTTGTTGGTAAGATTCTTAAAACATGTATGTTTTGATGCCACTACTCAATTACATGCTACTACACAATTTGACTCTACTCACTGAGGGTGCTTCCAGACAGCACCAACACATGGGATTAATATGCAGGATAAACAAACCTGGGACCTCAGAGCAGGGCCCCACACAGACCTGCCAGTCCTGGGCTTTCTTACCCCACCGTCATCACAACCCTTCGGTGTCTTAAGATAAAATTGAGAACAAACAAGGGACATCTGCTGGAAGATTTTTTTTTTAAAAAAAAATCACCCAATTATGTGCTGATGCAAATACTTTAATACAAATATGGAGAGATTGCTATGTGTATATATAAGCACCAGTACATAATGGCGGGGATTTTTTTTTAATTGCAACCGGATTTCCCTCTTTCCCCAGATGCTTATGCACAATCTATTCAATATTAAAAATTTTAAAATAAACACTTCCCGAGAGCTCTAATGCCTCTCTACTTCTCTCTTGGAACAAGCTAGAAATGAGATGTGTCTGCATGGGAGCCTGAATAGCTGATCAGCTTTTTCGGGCTTTTAAAAACCAGCACAGGCGGGAAGCAGTCCACAGGGGGTAAAGAGGGAAATCCTGAACTTTACATGACTGCAAGACCACACAGTCATGGGAAAATTTGGGTTTTTTGCCCAGAATCGGGATAAAAGAGGAACTTTTTGAATCGGGGTTTCCCTCCGTTGATGCGAACAAGCGTGCATTGTGCACAAATGTCATCTGGCCAACCGCCTTTTTAACCCTTTCTCTCTAAATTATAGGTATTGTCTGGAAGCACCATGAATTCAACTTTACATTTACAGAATAAAGAAGAGATAATAATTAAGTTAACAGAAATCGGTTCACCTATATGTTAATTACACTGATTGAAACATGCTGTATTCTTGCTCGCTTTCTCATCGGCCATCTATTATTTTCACAGGCATGATGAACCAAGACTATAGACTATTAAGGAGTAGGACCAGCTCTACAA